TGATTGAGGTCCAAGATGAATGGGAATTTGACTTGGGAGTTATGTTGTTACGTAAAACTGTAACTTTATTTATGAAATATTCACTAAGATAATTTGAAATATCAATGGGCTTAGTCAGAAAAGATCCACCCACTTCCAAAAATGTTGGTACAGGCTTGACTTTCCTTCTCATCAGTTCATTTAATGTATTCCATATTTTTTTACCATCTGATTTTATATCAGCGAACTTATTTCCATAATAAGCTTTTCTCTTGGATCTGTTTAATTTGGTCACATAATTCCTCAGCTGCTTGTACTGGTTCCACACTGTGCTGCTGCCTGATGTGGATGCTTCTTCCTTTAGTTCATCTCTTTGCTTCATAATTTCTTTAAGTTCAGGATCTACCCAGGGGGATGCTACATTTCTAACTGTCATTTTTCTCAATGGAGCATGTGTATTAATGATTGGCATGATTAGACTAGTGAAAACCTCCAAAGCTCTATTCGGATCATCCTCTAATGAAACTTGGGACCAGTTCACTTTCATGATTTCTTCCTTAAAATGTATTTCATTGAATGTTTTATAACTCCTTTTGATTATAATTTTCTGCCCTGCTTTAGGGACTTTAGTATTTCTATTTATATTTATTTATTTCTATATAAGTTATAACCATTTACATGAACGAGGGAACTATCAATGTTTCCATCCAAATGTGTCTCAGATAAAGCTAGTATATGTAAATTGTAACTCTCTAAAATCCTGCTTATGTCCTGAACCTTATTTCTCAAACTACAGATATTCAGATGGGCAATTTTCAAACCTTTATTTGATAACACGTTATCCCTCACCATAAGAATTTGTATTTGTTTTGAAACTTTTCATCAAAAATAAGATGGAGCTGCAAACTAAACAATGTTGACAAAAAGACAAGACAAACAAACATTCACTCACACACACATACACCATGCACACCCATTTTGCCCTCATAGTGACAAGAAAAAAAAGGCAGTTTTATCAGTCCCGATATTAACATTCTACAGTCTTTTGTGGTAATTTTCCAAAAGAAAACAATTTGTCCATAGCTTAACTAAAGAGACGTGGCTGAGAAAAATAAAGTGGCTGCTATAATACCGTTAAATAATAGTCTTCACATTTTGAGTTCATATACCTGTGCGTAAAGGCAGAGCATTACGCGCGCGATGGTTTCCTCTTCATCCTTGGTTAGACTCCTCCAGTTCAATTGTAGTTTTTACATAGTTCTCCGCAGTCAGTAAACCTCTTAGTTTCTCCTCTGAAAGTTAGGATCAAAGTGGCAGGGTGGATAATTCCGTGTTTCACCCCTGCGCTCCACAGTCTGTTTCTCACATCCCGAAAGCTGGCCCGTGCCTTGGCAGTCTCGGCTGTGAAGTCGGGGAAAATTCGCAGCTTCATCCCATGTATCTCCAGAACTTTCTCCTTCTTCGCGATGCGCAGAATCTCTTCTCTCACGGCCAGACGATGCATCCTGACGATCATGGCCCGCTGACCATTTTTATTCACAGGTCCAACACGGTGCGCAACTTCAACCTCGGGCTCGCGCGGCAGCTTTCCCTGGAACATCTCATTAAACAGAGTTGTGACGTAGTTCGTCGGATTCCCCTTCTCAACCTCTTTAATCAGGCCAAGAATTCGGATGTTGTATTTCCGACTCTGATTTTCCAAACGCTCAGTTTTCTCACTCAGATACTTATTTTCTTGTTGGAGACGTTCATTTGCCATCTCCAGCTCTGAGACTCGACTGTTCACGCGGCATAATGACACATCCAGATCAGCAACTTTCTTATTGCACTCAATCATGCCGCACTTAAGTTCATCAAGCAGCGGTTGCATTTTATCCATCGCAGCATTCATCTCTTCGCGTATTATGGTCCGAATTAGTGTAGATAGCTCCTCAGGGTTGCCGCTGCTGTCTGCCATGTCAATCACAGTCACCTGCGCAGCTTGACCGAGTTCGCTTTGTTTCTTTTGCGGTCGTTTTTTCGTTACTGGCATTCCACAAACTTAATATTCACGTCTACTGTACTTTCATTCAAGGGTTGTCTCAACTAGGACAAAGAGACAGATCTGTTAACCACAGTTTTTACCCAGTTTTTTCGGAACTGAAATCCACCAAGCAGTTCAGCCGTGACGCATGCTCAGTTGCTCCAACGTGTTTTGGAGAGAGAGAGAGAGAGAGAGACCAACGTGGTCTCTCTCTCTCTCTGGTCTCTCTCTCTCTGGTCTCTCTCTCTCTGGTCACTCTCTCTGGTCTCTCTCTCTCTGGTCTCTCTCTCTCTGGTCTCTCTCTCTCTCTGGTCTCTCTCTCTCTGGTCTCTCTCTCTCTGGTCTCTCTCTCTCTGGTCTCTCTCTCTCTCTGGTCTCTCTCTCTCTGGTCTCTCTCTCTCTCTGGTCTCTCTCTCTCTGGTCTCTCTCTCTCTGGTCTCTCTCTCTCAGGTCACTCTCTGGTCCTGTAGGAACCACACTCACATTCACTCCTGGTGTCTGTATTTACTTAGAATTTTGAATCTTGTGAATCTATATTTCACCCATACTTCCCACCAACCTGGTGCCTTCTATCCCTGAACTATGCTATGGCCAGAGAATAGACCAGCTTTGCTTTTGATTGGCTCTTTGGTTTCTATGAGAGAATGACCAGACAGAGGTCTGTATGTATACTGAGACAGAGGTCTGTATGTATACTGAGACAGAGGTCTGTATGTATACTGAGACAGAGGTCTGTATGTATACTGAGACAGTCTGTATGTATACTGAGACAGTCTGTATGTATACTGAGACAGTCTGTATGTATACTGAGTCAGAGGTCTGTATGTATACTGAGACAGGTCTGTATGTATACTGAGACAGAGGTCTGTATGTATACTGAGACAGAGGTCTGTATGTATACTGAGACAGGTCTGTATGTATACTGAGACAGGTCTGTATGTATACTGAGACAGAGGTCTGTATGTATACTGAGTCAGAGGTCTGTATGTATACTGAGACAGGTCTGTATGTATACTGAGACAGGTCTGTATGTATACTGAGACAGGTCTGTATGTATACTGAGACAGAGGTCTGTATGTATACTGAGACAGAGGTCTGTATGTATACTGAGACAGAGGTCTGTATGTATACTGAGACAGAGGTATGTATGTATACTGAGACAGAGGTCTGTATACTGAGACAGTCTGTATGTATACTGAGACAGAGGTCTGTATGTATACTGAGACAGGTCTGTATGTATACTGAGACAGGTCTGTATGTATACTGAGACAGAGGTCTGTATGTATACTGAGACAGGTCTGTATGTATACTGAGACAGAGGTCTGTATGTATACTGAGACAGAGGTCTGTATGTATACTGAGACAGAGGTCTGTATGTATACTGAGACAGAGGTCTCTATGTATACTGAAACAGTCTGTATGTATACTGAGACAGAGGTCTGTATGTATACTGAGACAGAGGTCTGTATGTATACTGAGACAGGTCTGTATGTATACTGAGACAGAGGTCTGTATGTATACTGAGACAGAGGTCTGTATGTATACTGAGACAGAGGTCTGTATGTATACTGAGACAGGTCTGTATGTATACTGAGACAGGTCTGTATGTATACTGAGACAGTCTGTATGTATACTGAGACAGAGGTCTGTATGTATACTGAGACAGAGGTCTGTATGTATACTGAGACAGGTCTGTATGTATACTGAGACAGGTCTGTATGTATACTGAGACAGAGGTGTGTATGTATACTGAGACAGAGGTCTGTATGTATACTGAGACAGGTCTGTATGTATACTGAGACAGGTCTGTATGTATACTGAGACAGAGGTCTGTATGTATACTGAGTCAGAGGTCTGTATGTATACTGAGACAGAGGTGTGTATGTATACTGAGACAGAGGTCTGTATGTATACTGAGACAGGTCTGTATGTATACTGAGACAGGTCTGTATGTATACTGAGACAGAGGTCTGTATGTATACTGAGTCAGAGGTCTGTATGTATACTGAGACAGAGGTGTGTATGTATACTGAGACAGAGGTCTGTATGTATACTGAGACAGGTCTGTATGTATACTGAGACAGGTCTGTATGTATACTGAGACAGGTCTGTATGTATACTGAGACAGGTCTGTATGTATACTGAGACAGAGGTCTGTATGTATACTGAGACAGAGGTCTGTATGTATACTGAGACAGAGGTCTGTATGTATACTGAGACAGAGGTGTGTATGTATACTGAGACAGAGGTCTGTATGTATACTGAGACAGGTCTGTATGTATACTGAGACAGGTCTGTATGTATACTGAGACAGGTCTGTATGTATACTGAGACAGAGGTCTGTATGTTGGTGCTCTCCAAATAAACTTCAAAAATAGACATAACTTTTCTAAAATATATAATACTGTAACTACTTCCTTAGTAGCACCTGTAGTGACAGTGACGCCTGTGTCCTCAGTAGCACCTGTAGTGACCGTGACACCTGTGTCCTCAGTAGCACCTGTAGTGACAGTGACGCCTGTGTCCTCAGTAGCACCTGTAGTGACTGTGACACCTGTGTCCTCAGTAGCACCTGTAGTGACTGTGACACCTGTGTCCTCAGTAGCACCTGTAGTGACAGTGACGCCTGTGTCCTCAGTAGCACCTGTAGTGACTGTGACGCCTGTGTCCTCAGTAGCACCTGTAGTGACTGTGACGCCTGTGTCCTCAGTAGCACCTGTAGTGACCGTGACACCTGTGTCCTCAGTAGCACCTGTAGTGACTGTGACACCTGTGTCCTCAGTAGCACCTGTAGTGACCGTGACACCTGTGTCCTCAGTAGCACCTGTAGTGACCGTGACACCTGTGTCCTCAGTAGCACCTGTAGTGACTGTGACGCCTGTGTCCTCAGTAGCACCTGTAGTGACCGTGACACCTGTGTCCTCAGTAGCACCTGTAGTGACCGTGACGCCTGTGTCCTCAGTAGCACCTGTAGTGACCGTGACGCCTGTGTCCTCAGTGCTCCACGCCATCCTGTATCGTGGCCTTCCATGTGACCTGTGCGTTCGACCACGGTCTGGAGATGAAGACCATCCTGGCGGAGAACGACGAGGTCCGCTTCAAGTCCTTCTGCCTGGACCACAGCAGCGGCCACAGCAGCGGCCACAGCAGCGGCCACAGCAGCGGCCACAGCAGCGGCCACAGCAGCGCACAGGCCTCGTCAGCCCACGCCTCCGTCCACCAGAGCCTCACGGGGGACTCGGGCTCTCAGGGGTCAGACCCGGGGGACGCCAGCCTTCACGCCCAGCCGGGACTGGTCATCCACCACACCGTCCCTGCGGTCAACGGGACACGCACCAAGGTAACGGCTACAGCATTAGAAGGTTACTATCAAGCATCAGGTCTCTCCAAGATGTCTGCCCTGGTCTCTCCAAGATGTCTGCCCCTGGTCTCTCCAAGATGTACAGAGCTCCACAGAGAGACTAGAGAGAGACAGACCAGAGAGTGAGACCAGAGAGACAGAGACAGACTATAGAGAGATGTCTGCCCTTGGTCTCTCCAAGATGGTTGCCGCTGGTCTCTCCAAGATGTCTGCGAGACCAGAGAGAGACCAGAGAGAGACCAGAGAGAGACCAGAGAGAGAGACCAGAGAGAGAGACCAGAGAGAGAGACCAGAGAGAGAGACCAGAGAGAGAGACCAGAGAGAGAGACCAGAGAGAGAGACCAGAGAGAGAGACTAGAGAGAGAGACCAGAGAGAGAGACCAGAGAGAGAGACCAGAGAGAGAGACCAGAACGAGAGACCAGAGAGAGAGACCAGAGAGAGACCAGAGAGAGAGACCAGAGAGAGAGACCAGAGAGAGAGAGACCAGCTTTAAGCAAGACTGTAAATCTGAATTGATTGAATGAGTTACTATTTAGATCCATCTTCTGTTCTTTACTTTAGACTCACACAAACGGCCTGAGCCTCCAGAGCAGCGCACCGCCCCTCCACACCAACGGGGGCAGCAGTGAGCCGGAGCAGAGGCTGGAGCGCCTGGACAGAGAACAGCTGGAGAGGGAGAAGGTGAGCCAGAGGAAGCAGAAGCTGCAGGAGCTGGAGGACGAGTTCTACCGACTGGTCGACCCCAAAGACGTGTCCCAGAACCTGGGCCTGCCCCTCACTCAGGTACCACCGCTTTACTCACACATACTGAGGCTGGAGACCCAGGACTGAGGCTGGAGACCCAGGACTGAGGCTGGAGACCCAGGACTGAGGCTGTAGACCCAGGACTGAGGCTGTAGATCCAGGACTGAGGCTGGAGACCCACGACTGAGGCTGGAGACACACGACTGAGGTTGGAGACCCAGGACTGAGGCTGTAGACCCAGGACTGAGGCTGGAGACCCAGGACTGAGGCTGGAGACCCAGGACTGAGGCTGTAGATCCAGGACTGAGACTGGAGACCCACGACTGAGGCTGGAGACACACGACTGAGGCTGGAGACCCAGGACTGAGACTGTAGACCCAGGACTGAGGCTGGAGACCCAGGACTGAGGCTGTAGACCCAGGACTGAGGCTGGAGACCCAGGACTGAGGCTGGAGACCCAGGACTGAGGCTGGAGACCCAGCACTGAGGCTGTAGATCCAGGACTGAGGCTGGAGACCCACGACTGAGGCTGGAGACACACGACTGAGGCTGGAGACCCAGGACTGAGGCTGTAGACCCAGGACTGAGGCTGGAGACCCAGGACTGAGGCTGGAGACCCAGGACTGAGGCTGTAGATCCAGGACTGAGACTGGAGACCCACGACTGAGGCTGGAGACACACGACTGAGGCTGGAGACCCAGGACTGAGACTGTAGACCCAGGACTGAGGCTGGAGACCCAGGACTGAGGCTGTAGACCCAGGACTGAGGCTGGAGACCCAGGACTGAGGCTGGAGACCCAGGACTGAGGCTGGAGACACAGGACTGAGGCTGGAGACACACGACTGAGGCTGTAGACCCAGGACTGAGGCTGATGTGATGGTCTCCAGGTGGACTTCATCTATGACTTCTGGAAGCTGAAGAGAAAGACCAACTCCAATCGTCCGTTGGTGTCTTTGAACCGGGACGAGGTGGACGACCTGAGCCAGCAGGAGCAGGACGTGCTGTACCGAAGACTACAGCTCTTCACCCACCTGAGGCAGGACCTGGAGAGGGTGAGTCAAGCACTGTGTGTGTGTGTCTGTGTGTCTCTGTGCGTGTGTCTGTGTGTGTGTGTCTGTGAGTCTGTGTGTGTGTGTGTCTGTGTCTCTGTGAGTCTGTGTGTGTCTGTGTGTCTGTGTGTCTCTGTGTGTCTGTGTCTGTGTGTCTGTGTCTGTGTGTCTCTGTACGTGTGTCTGTGTGTGTGTGTCTGTGAGTCTCTGTGTGTGTGTGTCTGTGTCTCTGTGAGTCTGTGTGTGTCTGTGTGTCTGTGTGTCTCTGTGTCTCTGTGTGTCTGTGTGTCTGTGTGTGTCTGTGTGTCTCTGTGTCTGTGTGTCTCTGTGTGTCTCTGTGTCTGTGTCTGTGTGTCTGTGTCTGTGTGTCTCTGTGTCTGTGTGTGTCTGTGTGTCTCTGTGTCTGTGTGTCTCTGTGTCTGTGTCTGTGTGTCTCTGTACGTGTGTCTGTGTCTCTGTGTGTCTCTGTGTCTGTGTGTCTCTGTGTCTGTGTGTCTGTGTCTGTGTGTCTGTGTCTGTGTGTCTCTGTGTCTGTGTGTGTCTGTGTGTCTCTGTGTGTCTCTGTGTCTGTGTGTCTCTGTGTCTGTGTCTGTGTGTCTCTGTACGTGTGTCTGTGTCTCTGTGTGTCTCTGTGTCTGTGTGTCTCTGTGTCTCTGTGTCTGTGTGTCTGTGTCTGTGCATGACTCGGTTTGTAAAGAAGTGGATCTTTTCTGGTATATTTCCAGAGTGTTTGGGAAGTGTAGAGTTTTGTGAATATTCCAAAGCTGTGAATTAGATGTTTTGTAATGAGCAGTGTAATATCAATCTCAAAGTCTACTACTGTAGCCACAGCTGCCCTGGGGCACACTGAAAGAAGCGAGGCAACCAGTCTGTGCCATCGGCCCCTCCCACCACCACCAACCATTCACACACACACCAGACTCATTCTAATGTGGGGGAAGTGTCTTGCCTAAGGACACACTGTGGCACCTGGTGTTCCCAGAGGTCTCCCATCACAGCACTAACCAGGCCCTGCCCTGCTGAGCTTGTGCAGGTGAGAGCATCTGGCTCTCACCTGCAGGGGGCGCCACATGTATTGAGGTCTTTCCTTGTTATACACATGTTATACACACACACACACTTATTTACACACGTTGTTATACAGACACACACTCATTTACACACACGTTATACACACACACGTTATACAGACACACACTCATTTACACACACGTTATACACACACACGTTATACAGACACACACTTATTTACACACATGTTCCCCTTGGACTGCCACCTTAACGTGGTGGGGGAGTTTGAGCACTCGGATGATCCTGGGAGCTATGCTGTCTGGGGCTTCATGCCCCTGGTAGGGCCTCCCATGGCAGACAGGTCTCAGGTGACGAGTCAGACGAAGAGTGGTCCGAAGCCAACCATGGACAGCACAATAAATACACCAGTGACGTCGCCCGGCATGGCGCAGCCGGGGCCCCACCCTGGAGCCAGGCCTGGGGTCGGGGCTCGCAAGCGAGCGCCTGGTGGCCGGGCCTTAGCCCACGGGGCCCGGCCGGGCTTAGCCCGAAGGCATGACGTGGGCAGTCCCTCCTGTGGGCCCACCACCCGCAGAGGGGTCCGTGGTGGCGAAGCGGTGCAGAGAGGACTGGGCAGCGGTCGAAGGCAGAGACCTCGGCGACCCAGTCCACACACCCAACATCTGGCTCTTGGGACGTGGAACGTCACCTCACTGGGGGGGAAGGAGCCCGAGCTCGTGGGGGAGGTTGAGCGATACCGACTAGAGATAGTCGGCCCCTCACCTCCACACACAGCTTGGGCTCTGGAACCCAACTCCTTGAGAGGGGTTGGACGCTCCACTTTTCTGGTGTTTCCAGCAGGGAGAGGCGGCGAGCTGGGGTGGCCATTCTCATTGCCCCCCATCTCAGCCGCCACGTGTTGGAGTTCTCCCCGGTGAATGAGAGGGTCGCGTCCCTCCGCCTCCGGGTGGGGGACAAGTCTCTCACTGTTGTGACGGCCTATGGGCCTAACAGCAGTGCAGAGTACCCGGCCTTCTTAGAGTCCTTGGGAGGGGTACTGGACAGTGCACCGCCCGGGGACTCCGTTATTCTCCTGGGGGACTTCAACGCCCATGTGGGAAATGCCAGTGACACTTGGAGAGGGGTGATCGGGAAGAACGGCCCCGCTGATCTGAACCCGAGCGGTGTTCAGTTGTTGGACTTCTGTGCTAGTCACAGTTTGTCCATCACCAACACCATGTTCCAGCACAAGGGTGTTCACCAGTGCACGTGGCACCAGGACACCCTAGGCCGGAGGTCGATGATCGACTTTGTTGTCGTATCATCTGACCTTTGACCGCGTGTCTCGGACACTCGGGTGAAGAGAGGGGCGGAGCTGTCAACCGATCATCACCTGGTCGTGAGTTGGATCCGCTGGCAGGGGAGGAAGCCGGTCAGACCTGGCAGACCCAAGCGTATAGTGAGGGTCTGCTGGGAACGTCTCGCTGAGACCCCTGTCAGACGGACTTTCAACTCACACCTCCGGGAGAGCTTCTCCCAGGTCCCGGCGGAGGAGGGGGACATGGAGTCCGAGTGGACCATGTTCTCTTCCTCTATCGCCGATGCGGCGGCTCGTAGCTGTGGTCGCAAGGTCTCTGGTGCTGGTCCCGGCGGCAACCCCCAAACCCGGTGGTGGACACCGGCAGTAAGGGATGCCGTCAGGCTGAAGAAGGAGTCCTATCGAGCAATGATGGTTCGGGGGACTCCTGAGGCAGCTGTCCAGTACCGGCAGGCCAAACGTGCCGCGGCTCGGGCTGTTGCAGAGGCAAAAACCCGGGACTGGGAGGAGTTCGGAGAGTCCATGGAGCATGACTATCGGTCGGCCTCGAAGAGATTCTGGCAAACCGTCCGGCGCCTCAGGAGGGGGAAGCAGTTCTTTGCCAACACCGTGTATGGTGCGGGTGGAGGGCTGCTGACCTCGACTGGGGATATTGTCGGGCGGTGGAAGGAATACTTCGAGGTTCTCCTCAATCCCCCCGTCACGTCCTCTGTTACAGAGGCAGAGGCTGAGGATGTTGGGGCGGATACATCCATCTCCCTGGCCGAGGTCACCAAGGTGGTTGGCAGCCTCCATGGTGGCAAGGCTCCGGGTGTGGATGAGATCCGTCCTGACTATCTAAAGTCTCTGGATGTTGTAGGACTGTCTTGGCTGACACGTCTCTGCGACATCGCGTGGTGCTCGGGGGCGGTGCCAATGGAGTGGCAGACCGGGGTGGTGGTCCCTCTCTACAAGAAGGGGGACCGGAGGGTGTGTTCCAATTATCGTGGGATCACACTCCTCAGCCTCCCCGGTAAGGTCTACTCCAAGGTACTGGAGAGGAGGCTACGGCCGATGGTCGAATCTCGGATCCAGGAGGAGCAGTGTGGTTTTCGTCCCGGTCGCGGAACACTGGACCAGCTCTATACTCTCCATCGGATACTCGAGGGTTCATGGGAGTTCGCCCAACCTGTCCACATGTGCTTTGTGGATTTGGAGAAGGCGTTCGACTGTGTTCCCCGGGGTGTACTTTGGGGGGTTCTCCGGGAGTACGGGGTCGGAGGTCCTCTGCTGAGGGCCGTCTGGTCCCTGTATGACCGGAGCCAGAGCTGTGTTCGCATTGCCGGCAGTAAGTCAGACCTGTTCCCGGTGCATGTTGGCCTCCGCCAAGGCTGCCCTTTGTCACCGGTTCTGTTCACTGTCTTTATGGACAGAATTTCTAGGCGCAGCCAGGGGCCGGAGGGGTCCGGTTCGGGGACCACAGGATTTCATCTCTACTGTTTGCGGATGATGTCGTCCTGTTGGCTCCAACGAACCAGGACCTGCAACATGCACTGGGACGGTTTGCAGCCGAGTGTGAAGCGGCTGGGATGAGAATCAGAACCTCCAAATCTGAGGCCATGGTGCTCGACCGGAAAAAGGTGCCTTGTCCTCTCCAGGTCCTGGTCCTCTCCAGGTCCTGGTCCTCTCCAGGTCCTGGTCCTCTCCAGGTCCTGGTCCTCACCTGGTGGGTGGAGAGGTCCTTCCTCAAGTGGAGGAGTTCAGGTATCTCGGGGTCTTGTTCACGAGTGAGGGAAGGATGGAGCGTGAGATTGACAGGCGGATCGGTGCAGCGTGCGCAGTGATGCAGTCTCTGTATCGGACCGTTGTGGTAAAGAGGGAGCAGCGTCTGCAGTCAGAGCTGTATCGGACCGTTGTGGTAAAGAGGGAGCTGAGCCGAAAGGCAAAGCTCTCGATTTACCGGTCAATCTTCGTTCCCTCCCTCACCTATGGTCATGAGCTTTGGGTAATGACCGAAAGAACGAGATCGCGGATACAAGCGGTCGAAATGAGCTTCCTCCGCAGAGTGGCTGCTCCCTTAGAGATAGGGTGAGGAGCTCAGTCACACTGGAGTAGCTCGGAGTAGAGCCGCTGCTTCTCCACGTCGAGAGGAACCAGTTGAGGTGGCTCGGGCATCTGTTCAGGATGCCTCCTGGATGCCTCCCTGGGGAGGTGTTCCGGGCACGTCCCACCGGGAGGAGGCCCCGGGGAAGACCCAGGACATGCTGGAGGGACTATGTCTCTCAGCTGGCCTGGGAACGCCTTGGGGTCCCCCCGGACGAGCTGGAGGAAGTGTGTGTGGATAGGGAAGTCTGGGCGTCTCTGCTTAGACTGCTGCCCCCGCGACCCGGCAACGGATAAAGCGGAAGAAAATGGATGGGTGGATGGATGTTATACAGACACACACTTATTTACACACATGTTTTACAGACACACACTTATTTATACACACGTTATACACACACACACTTATTTACACACGTTATATACACACACACACTTATTTACACTCATGTTATACACACACACTTATTTACACACATGTTTTACAGACACACACTTATTTACACACATGTTTTACAGACACACACTTATTTACACACACGTTATACAGACACACACTTATTTATACACGTTATACAGACACACACTTATT